AAAACAGTGGAAACCCTCCATCGATACTTCTGGTGGAAGTCAATGAGGAGGGACACCCACAAGTTCTGCAGATCTTGTGGAACTTGTCAAACAACAAAGAAAAGCACCAGGAGAAATCCCGGACTGCTTCACCCACTCCTGACCCCGGAAACACCGTGGCCATCAATAGCCATGGACTTCACAGGTCCATTCCCAACAAGCTTGGGATATGATTACCTCTGGGTAATCATCTGCAGGTTGACGTCCAATGTCCACCTAATTCCAATAAAAACAACAATGAACACATTAGAACTAGCGTTCGTATTTCTTTGTGAAGTTGTAAGACTCCACAGTCTACCACACTTATCATATCAGATCGAAATTCGAAATTCATGTCAAAATTTTGGTGCGAACTACACCAAATACTCGGTGTGCAGTTGAAATTCACAACTGCATTCCACCTGCAAGGTGACGGCCAAGCGGAAAGAATGATACAAAAAGTAGTACAAATACTACATGCAATGGTCAGACCAGATCAATGCAACTGGGCAGCGAAGCTGTTGATGGTGGAATTCACAATCAATGCGAGCTCGAACACATCAACAGGATTTGCCCCATTCGAATTAATCTACGGCCACATGCCAAAGATGTGCCTAACAGCACCACCCTCAGACTACCCAGGAGTAAACGACTTCGCCCAAAAGGTGAAGGAAAACCTCACGGCAGCACACAATGCGATAATACACAATCGTGCCACCCAAACAATCCAGGTGAATAAGAAAAGATGCCCGGACCCGCCTTTGAGAAAAGCCAAGCTTGCATACTTATCCACGGATAAGCTGAACCTACCCAAAGGGAGGGCAGGTAAATCAAAGCCCTTATACATAGGGCCTTATGAAATTCTGGAAACATTTCCAGAGACGTCAAACTATGTCCTCAAGTTGCCACCACAACTTGAACAACACAGAATCCACCCAAGATTCCATGTATCCTGGCTCGTACCTCATGAGCCAAATGACCAAGAAATCTTCCCAAATAGGGAAGTAAACATATTCTATGACTTCGGGGAAGACCCCGATTGCGAAGCAGTAGTTCGCGAAATCTTAAACCATGCATGGGCCCACAATGAACTCTGGTTTAAGGTTAAATGGGAGCTAGGGGACACCACATGGGAACCCCTAGGAAATTGCAACGACCTCATCCACCTGGATGAGTACCTCACACTACAAAATGTGAGGGAACCAGAAAACCTCCCTATCAAAGAAGACAGGGAACTCTCGGCATCACTACACCCCCAAAAATGGAGATGGAGGAAGTAAAGCCAAGGGACGATGGCCCACAGCCAAGAGCATGGGAAAGTTCTGGGCGAGCAACTCGCCCGGACAGCCACACCATGTGCTAGAGATCACATGGGCCAGGTGAGTAACTCGCCTAGACCACGTGAACCACAGGCTCACATGTAAAAGCACACACAATTGCGGTGAATCCCATGCATGCAAGAACTAAAACCCCTCCCACCACCATGAGAAACATAACGACAAAATGTCATTCTCTGGGGGAGGTAACCCTCAGTTCGATCCAAACAAGCCACTGGACATTGAGATATGACAACCTGGGGAGCAAGGCTCCCCGGAACAACAACAACACCAGGTGCAGATAAGCGCCATGGACTACATGACACATGCAGCACAAATGAGTGCTGTGAACCAACAAACATCCACGTTGCCAACAGGCACTGTATACCCCCAGCCTCCTCAGAGGGGCTTCCAACCATACACAGTGCAAACTGCACCAATGGCACAACAAGCACCATTCCAGGGGCAGCATTTGCTGCTGCAGCCCCAGGTATACTCCCCAGGGAACTTCCCTGGCCAGATCAACCCCTGGATCAGCCAATTCGGCCCAGGTCCAACAACACCCCAGCCAAATGCAGGCTGGGAATCAGCTATCGCATCAGCGGTAGCTGCTCAGACAGGCCAGCTCCGCAAGGAGCTGAAAGAGATGAAGTCCCTCATAGGAGGGAGATGAGGGAGCGATAGCGGCTCCTTGTCCAGACTGTCCAAATGGGCACGGTCTGATAACTCGAGGGTGTCAGAAGATGCCTGCAACAATTGCACCCATTGGAGGTGTGAATACAACAGAGCATGAAGAGATGCCGAGGGCATCTTCGACTCTCTGAAAGACACAGAGAGAGAGGTTGATCTCCAAAAGAGGGAGATTGAATTACTAAAATGCGAGCTCAGGGAGGCATGCACACTGGCAGACCTCACTGCCAAACCCATCATGATGGGGGCCTCCCAGGTCAGGGGGAGGGGATACAGTGCTGGGGCACCGACTATCCTGCCACCCCATGGGCAGGCGACCCTGTCCGGGTTGCATAAGGGCCCGCCCTCAGAAGGGCAAACCCATGTCGAGGGGAAGAGGGAGAGCGGTAGGCAACTGATGGCAGACCCTAAAATGGGGACCACTGCCAGAGGCAGCGGGCCGCTGAGTACCTCAGCACCCTATGGGCAAGCTACCCTGCAGGGAAGTGTCCACATGTTATATGAGACCGCCAAACTCAATGAGTTTGGCAAAGTCGAAGCTCCAGTCGACATAACAATCGACCCCAACTTCCCCATGAGGAGAATAGCGGGGTCAGAAGCGGTGCATGACGCTGCATACACTTGGTGGACAAGCGCGAGTGGGAAAGAATTCATACACTGGTATGAATAGGGCTTCTAGCGGATCAGATCAGTCCGGATCCGGATCAGAATCCGCAAATTTTTAGAGGTTTGAAACAAAAACCGTATCCGGCAGTTAGCAATCCGCGGATTATAGATAATACGTTCCAAAATTATATTTCGTTAGGACGGCCCTGATGAGAGCTTTCTAACAATACCAAATATGTCCATATTGGTGGAGAACTGACAGAGATATGGGGAAAATGGCACAAAAGATGGGTGTCAGATGCCAAATTTGGAAATAACGGGCCTGGGTGGTTAGATAGGACTTGAAAAAATTGGGAGAAAATATGGAAACATAGGAGCGGTATCTAGGGAAGTGGGATATATTTAATCCACGGACAATCCGCCTATCTGCGGACTAGAAACCATGAATATTCCTCTCAAAAGCCACAGTAGAGTAGGAGTTACAGTAAATATGGGGAATTTCACCCTTATTTGCCTCAGATCTCCTGCATATCTGCAAGCAATAAATCATGTTATAAAACTGCAGATAATCCGCAAATCCGCGGATTAAAAACCGCAGATATTTTCCTCTGAAAATCCAAAACCGGATCCATGAATTTCCGGATGCAGTTGCGGATATCCGCAGATCATCCAATCCGCTAGGAGCCCTAGGTATGAACAGGCTGAAGCCGTCTTCAAAAGCGGCAAGGTACATAGAGTCCTTCATGAACAAGCGAAGGAAACCGAGAAATACTTCTTGGGACTCCTGAGTATTGCAAGACTCGCAGAGGAGTACAATTCCCCAGAGAACAAGGGAAAAATCTCCTGGGAAAGTCTAGGCAAAGCTGCCTATATAAAGTCCCAGTTCAAACCACTCAGAACTCCTGAGGAACGTGCTGCAAAAAATGCGGAACGGGAAGCGAAAGCTTCCAAATACCGAGAAAGAGATGCAAGTCTCTGCACTGGACACCCAGGCCAACGACCACCCTTCCCCACGGGAAGAACGGTAGACCTACTGTACTCCACACCTGAGCCAAGTAGCTCAGGAACACAACAACCCACTCCCACCCAGGGAGTGCCCACTTTGTCGAGCCCACAGCTTGACAATGTAGCCCAGGCTACATCATTGCATCCGATGCAGCAATCGGATGTCCAGATAAACAACCTGGAGGAAAACCCTCCTCCAGGGCAATAACTCCACCCTTGAGGGAAGGGAAAGTGACATGGTAATACACCATCGAGGTGCCCATGAAAACACCTTCCCCCAACTTGAGGCCCTGCACACAATATTGTATGCGAGGAACTGCAAGTAACAATTGCAGAAATCTCTACTTCGTCATAAAACCCACATCCACCACCACCCGTGTGCAAACACCATTTACACACGAACCCTCACAGAACAAGTGAGGAACACCAAAGACGTACAACCTTTGGGTCGAAATTCATTTTCGACAAACTCCATTACTTTCCTCTCTACGATACCCATGTATCGCTGTTCACTTCAAAGTGATGGCCCACACTCACTTATTCCCAAAACCTTTTTCTCTCTCCTTCACTGACATGTACAAATTGCCCACTTTAAAGTGGCGACAATAAAACGCTCATTGATAATTTCAAACTCAATGTAAATCAATTCTTAAACTCTATTTTCTTCACCATTAACCTTGTATGCATCGCAAATGCAACGCAAGGGGGGAGAATGTCAGGGCAATAGCCTTGAACCCCGAGCCACATGTAATTAAGATACATATAGTCACGTGGGTAAGCGGGAACCTCCAGGTAACTGCTTACACACTACCATAAAATACAGTACACACCCTTGTATCACTTACGGCTCTGTGTGCTGAGCTACCCTGAGACCTCACACATTTGTATGTCCTTTTGCCATGCTGTCTGATTGCTCATCTGACATCTACTTGTAGTGGAGGCAACAGGGATAACTGAGCTTGGGCACAACTGGAGAGTTGCCAACATACTTTCATTCATGCTTGAGCATCGTCTCCATTTTGTTGGTTGGCATCGTGGTGTCCCATGCTTGAACAAGTCACTACCATGCGATTGGACCCCACACGAGTCTGCACAGTGTATAATGCAGCTCACTCACCAGGATCCGGAGCAGACGTTGAGGGTGGAACAAATGACAGATGGTGAGGAAAATGTCAATGAAACTTCAAAAAAACACAGCTCACCAGTTTGGGCTTACCAGATGAGTACCTGACGTGTGAGGTGCTACACTATGCACCAGATGCGAAAGGGAATATTACGAAATACGTATTGCCTGAACATGAGACAAGGAGGGAAATTGCGAGGACAGTGGTTGTCCCCGCATGAACCCAAAAACGTAAGGAAAGCATGCCAAACTCCCCAACTGTGGAGATGGAAGGAGATTCGGTTGGTGATAATCAAATATCATCCCCATCTTCCAAGCGATGCAAGAAGTCCAAAGCCACTTGTGCATGCACCCTCACGAAGGCAAAACCTCCCCATGTGACACCTGGGGGCCACAACCAAATGAAAGAAGCTGCAGTACCAGAGAACAAGGTGAAAGGTCCACAGGACGATGGCATTGTACCCGAGACACCACCTTGCAACTCACCTGAACCGGGTGGGTCATCATCATCATTAGTAAAGTTAGGGCAATAAACCTGACAACGTTCCCATCGGGTGTATGCTCAGGCTTCCAGCAAGGATGTGGGCCACAACTCCCTGATGACCCAGAAAACGATGTCTTCATGGAGCAAGCCATTCCGGAATCACATATGCCAATGGTCATCCCTCCAATTAGGCTCATCCATCCAACACCACATAGTACTCCCCTCAAAGTTCAACCAGTGTTAAAGACCAATGGAAGTACGCACCTCACTGTGAACGAAGGTCCAACATCCTGGGCACCGTTGGAGGCACCGTCATCCCTATCAAGCCTAAGCGGTGAGCCTCCCACCTTTGACACCTTGTTCAGGTGTGCACAAAACTCAGTGTGGTGGGCTGCATTGAAAATGTTGCCAGTGGTTCATTTGAAGGTGCTAATGGAAGAAAACATTGAACTCCTAGTCAACATCGACATCATTGCCCTGCATGTTACCGAGAAGGAGCCACCTCCTGAAGTCTTAGATGTCGCTCAACACTGGAGAATGATTAGTGCTGTCATATCCTGGAATCCCGACCCCGCGCACTCCCACCACATCACACCTTCCTAACAACTTCACCATCCCCTACACCATGCCTCCCCACTCCCCAAGTCACCTTCCCTCCTGACTGTCTCAGCTCCGGTCTGGTTGCGGCACACCAAACCTTGGCCACTCCCATCCCGGAAGCTCGGTCCTGAGTTGGAACATTCGGAGACTCCGGATTTGCTCCAATATCCCGATGGACCTCCGACATCCCGTGACACACCCTTAAACCATTTCTCCACCCATTTCATTTATTTGAGTCACCCAACATCCTTTGGATATGCAACTCCGCTTTCGGATTTACCCGCATCCTTCAGTGATCTCACTCACGTCATCACTTATTAGTCACCCTCCACTCTTAGCATGACTATCTTCTTCTTACCATTCAGTCAGCTAACCCCCCCTTACCCATTTCTCGTTCCCATTCATTTTCCGGCCTCTTACTCCGCCCTCTATGGTCCGACACCTCGATTCCCTGTTAAAGATATTGTTCGGGACCTTTCGGTACCTCTCGGTATCATTCGGCACCTTTCGGTGTCGTCCCATTGTCATTTGGACTTTGACTAAGTCCTTTCCACTCCCCTTTATAAATACCTGTAGAACCTGTAGCTCCTCAGTTCTAATCTCGACTAATATGCTACCCAAAGTCCCTCTGAGTGAATCCTGTTCCGTTCTACAAGATACCTCAGACATAAGAAATACAAGGACTAACTGAGATGTAACGGAGGCACAGCGCTCCCTCCGAGTCGCTGAGGCCACATCCCTCTTAGAGCCTCTTGTACCATCCAGCAGAACCGGGCTTCCTGGAGAAGCTTCGGTCCACCACCGGAGCTCTCGGATTCCCCCTCTAGTTGAGCCCCACCTGCATTCGGACTCACACATTTACCCCTATGATCCAGGTTTTTGACAAATGCCATGGAAATGAGCTTCATGACAGGGGGGCTGATGTAGGAAAGGTTGCCAGGAGGGTGGTCCAACTGCTTGATGAGTTGGAAGTGAACGACGACGAGGATGTGATAGCTACGTGGATACAGATGTTGCCCAGTTGAGTGACCCAAACATCACAACCGATCATTGGAAGGATACATAGGTATCTTACAATGAAAATATTGCATGTGTCATTATTAAACCTATGGGCTGGGCACAAGTGCAAGGCGTAAGCTCAGCAAACGTAAAATACATCGGGAAGTTATATGCTACAAATTATTCTAGAGTATATACAAAGTGAACGGAAAATGGTCACAGACAGCTACTGTGTGATGCTCTCCGACTACTACTTGCCGCTTAACTCTTCTGGAGTCGGCTTGTTTGGGGGAGCAGGAGGACTCTCTGCAACTTTGAGTGCAAAAAGACCAGTTTTTGGCTGCCAGTGAATGGACTCAAACTCTTCTTGAGGCAGGTTTCCTGATCTCTTCAACATCTTGGTTGGTCGGAATTCGATGCCCTCGAAAAGCTGCCTCCCAGAATTGGCAATGAAACAGACAACATGAGGGTAAATAGAGTCTTCAGCAGGGTAGATCCGCTGGCGGAATGTGCATTTGAAGTGGTGAAGGCGACAGAGAATGAGACAAAAATGAAGGAGGCCAAAGTACTCTTCTTCGCTTAACTCGAATGGCCTATGCAGGCATATTTTTTTTAACACTTCGCATTTGAAGGTCACCTCCACCATATTGAACAGCATATGCCCTTGGCTGGTTGTCGTCGTCATAATCCAGAAGCGATTGTATTCAAAGAGATCCTGTGAATACATGCACATCCATAGCTCTGTTGCTTCGGATGGTAATGTGTCTGGGCCCTGAGGGATGAGCGGGGCTGGTGCATGATCCAGTAGGGTTTTGATTGTAGTTTTGTCAAATCCATGAGAAAAGACTTCACCAGTATATCCAAGCTCATAGACGCCAATGTACCCGCTTGGGGTAATCCTGCATATTGATATCTCTGAGAAGGGCATCAGGGAATCTTTCTTGGAGGTACCGCTTAAGGCTTTGAGCTTCCTTCTGTGTCTTGCAGAGTAGGTTAAGACAGTGCATCGAACCATCCCACCTGTCCACTTTCTGGTTCACCATGCAGTCATGCACTTCTCGGTAGGCAAGAATGCCCTGCTGCTTGACCGCTTCCAAGTCATGATGTAGCTCCAGCGTAGGGCCTGACAGGCATATGGATATGCCTAGCCATGTGTCAGTGGCAGTGACAGAGCCGGCCTCGGACAACAAAATAGCACTGGACATGCCAGTAAAGGGTACGGACTGATTCGACAATGGAAGGGGATGTTGAGGTTGGTAGTATGAGAAAGGGATTTTGACAAATGCTGCCATCAATGGAGCATGCACACCGATGGGGAATGGTACTCTCATTTTCTTCCATTTGGCCCCTTCCAAGGCCACGCTCAAATGCAGGCCCTCCTCGTATTTTAAATCCAGCCAGACTCCTTGAAGCACACCCTTCATTAAGGCAGAGAGGGGTTTGAATGGAGTAGGATCCCCCTCAGGGGCAAGCGCTTTCAGACATTGTTCCATGGCAAAGTGCTGAGTAGGGGGATCATCTTGTGGAGCTGTGAGCAGGAATTGCTGTGGGTGGGAACATGTAATGGTTTCCATAACAACAAAGTCGAATCCTACAGTGATATCCCCTGATGCCGTTTGAGCACAGCTCCGTATCTCCTGTTGAAGAGCATGTTCTGCTGCATGATCATGCAATGGTGAACATGATCGACAGACTGCAAAGCGTTTTTCACCATATTCCACCCTCCAATGAGGAACTCCCCACCATTCCAGAGTGAGGGCAAAAGCCTGAGCAGAAGCACTGAGGGTGGAGTCATGGACCTTGGTGTGAGTGCCATCCGAGCCATTGAAGATGGTCCCAATGGCTAATTTTTGAATTGGCCACATCAGAAGTTCCATACCACCCAGTATGGCGCATGCATTGAGGGAAACGAGGAGGCAATAACGAAGATAGCCTTGTAGCTCTCCAATCCGATGTTTGATCTCACCAACTGTTTCATGGTGATAGTTCTCGGACTCCACAATCATCCGGGATTGAAGCAGCTTTTCAAGGTAGACATCCGATTCATGCTTGAGTATTGTCATAGTTTCATGATGTGAAGGGAGGATTTCTGCATGGCAGAGATGAGAAATGGTAGTCCAAATGTGGCGAAGAAGTTGTTTCAGCAACGAGTTTGTGCCTATAATCCGCTCCCTCCACTCAGACATTGGGAGCCAATTCAAACTGTCAGGGGAACATTGCAAGTCAATATTAAGAATAGGCGATGGGATATAATGAAAAGGGGAATGGCATTCGATGAGTGGGAGGTGCAGGCAGAGCGGGTTGAAGCTGACTGGTCTCTGACAAAAGTCCACAAACTCGCGATATCTTTGAGAGGTGTTAAGGACACTTGTCCTCGTTGAAGGGGTGGCATTCACCCATGAGGCGTATGATCTATCGTAGGAGCACATAGCATGGGTGTTCAGTGCCATGATACGAATCGGTGTCTGACAGTAAGTGTGCTTGATGGTGCCACCTAGGACATCCTTTATGTATTAGACTGGGAATGAGGCGATAGTGATCAGCTTACAGGATAATTCTGTTCTCCAATTTTCAACGTGGGCTGCAGCTTCGGGGGTGGGGGAAAGTGGCTGAACAGGTTGAAGAGGTGCACCTGGTGAAAACATCACACTGTGTGAGAATAACAGTTAAAACATTCCTAGACATACTATGCATACCTTGAATAACCATAGCATCTCTTAGCAAGGACGTTGTTCCTCTGTCCTGCACCATGATCTGTTCAACTGAGATGAAGTGTGCGATATCTGGTGGTGGCGCTGTAGGCGGGATAATCGCCCACACACAGACCCGGCTCGGATATCCATTTTCACCATGCAAGAATCATCTTCATTCGTTCCATAAATCGATACAAACTTGGTACCTAAAAATACTCCTAATTCCTACGAATCCGTCGATGTCAAGATCGTCCCAATCGGTGGAGATTTGGTGGAGTTAAGTGTTGGGGAGGTTGGCCACGGCGCGGGTCACAGGATCTGGTCATGTGCGGGCGTGGGAAGTTCAATTTAGGCAAGCGGGAAGTCAGAAAAGCATGCTTCACACATTCCCAAGGCATCAAATAAATTGGGAAAAATGTTCTTTAGCCGCGTAAAGGTTATTCCCAGCCACATTTCCAGTTTCGGGTACTAATTCTGTGAAATCATTGATAAATTCCCGATTTTCCTCATATTTTCACATTTTTACCATCATTTTGATATATTGGATGATATTCTTTTATTCTTTTGATGCCCTTTTCAAATATTTCGCTTACGATGGGGTCCAGGAGCCATATGGCGCCAATATTTCCCATCAATCATTTCTAAAAATGTTTATTCTTTATAATCCTGTACATACCGGGATTCAAAAATTAAGTTCTCCCCTCCCCAATTTTCTCTAAGGCGCTAGGATGCGTCAGAGTTAGTGTGAGTGAACAGGAATTCCAACAGTAGGAGTAAGGGCAGTCGTCTAGCCCACAAAGAGTGGGTAGTGGATACTGAGCCCGGACCTTGCGGAATTTCCGGAGAATTTCCTGGAGTTTTAGGATCGAGGCCAGTGGAGAAAGAAGTTTTTGTGGAGAGTTTCCCCCCACGAGCTTGGTTGGCGCTGAGAGCCACTAGCTCTCTTGCAGCGCCCTTAGTCTTGGCAGTGGATCGTAGGAGGAGGGCAGGGGGAGTGGACGATGGGGTGGGGATTCTGGATGGTACTGCGAGATGGGGACTGGGGTATGGGCCAATGGGATTTGGGCTTCGCTGAACTGAACATCTTCCATGGATAGAGGAGGGTGACGACGTTCTGGGTCATACAGAGGTGCTGGCGGCTTCACGGAGGATGGCAGGGGAAGTGAACAAGAAGACTGGAATTCTGGTCAGTATTGGGGAATGGGAATGGAAGCTTTGGCTGATGGCATTCGGGCTTTGTGGAATCGACCTTCCATGGCTGGAGGCGGGGCATGGTGGCGTGGTGGAGTGTATGGAGGCTTTGCAGGCCCA